CCAGCCCAGGACATTCCTAATTGTCCCCAGCCACATGGTGGTTAGAGACCTTAGAATAAGAGCTCCCACAGCACAACTGTTATCCCCAAAGGAAAGGAAGAGGGAGGGGGTTAAGGGTTAGGGAGGAAGAAGGGAAAGTGTGTTGCAGCTTAAAGCCGCCTGGCCTATCCATTCTCAGTGAGCCCCAAGCCATGGGGGGAGCATGCATTGGAGAGCCATACACTGCCACCCACCTCTGCAACATGACCTGCAGGGAGGCCCACCTGTTGGACTGACAACACTGAGTCCTGATCCAGCATTTCCAGCTACTTTCCCTGAGGACAGAGCTCAGCCCATTCCTTAGGCAGTGCAGAAGGATTTAAAATAGTGAAAAGAATGAGAGTGACCCCTCTAAAGTGTAGGGTCTGGTACCTCACCATGAGTCTCCTGGCTGGCTCACCAAATGTGGATGGCAATACAGTGTTTTCAGAAGACCATAGTCCTTGTGTTCCCGTGTAGAAGAATCCAAGCAGAACATGTGGGTGTAAATGGGGTTTATTAAAAGTTAGGAAAGGAAATACAAAGGGAGCATGGTGAGATCTATGTGGAGTCCACCAGCAAAGAGAGTATGCTTTTCTTTTTCAGGTGCTTTTAAAACCTACATTAACCCATGGGGAGGGCAGACCCAGAAGCACTCACCCAAATGTACCCAGTGTAGAGGTAAACTGTGTGGCTCAAATGATGATGTTATGTCAGTTACCAGCAGTCCCTTGAATTTCCTGAGCCCAGACCTATCTGGGGTGATAGAAATACTAAACTAAAGAAAGACCCCAACCTCCCTCAGCTGTTTTGGAAGTTGACAAGAGCGCCTTGTAGTGCTTTGGAACATTTGTAAATTCATTTTGGAGTATCACAATATTTGTGTCCTGAAAAAGTACCTGTCTTGTTTTCTTAGCTTGCCTGCCTAAATACATGGAGCTTGCTGGAGAGATGAACTGGAAGCTAATGGTTCTGACAGGCCATGGCCATGGAGAGCCAGCTGATTAAGCTCTTAGACACAGAGCTACAAACGTAGTTGGCATGAAACTTTGGGCTTCAGATATAAAGTACACACAAAGGCCTTCATTCACATTGCAGACTGAAATCTAGATCCTGTTGTCTACAGAGTGCTGTGTTTGTATGCATATCCTCAAGTTGGCCCAAACTGCTGTAATTATGATTTTAAATTAATATCTCAAGAAGCTTGTTGAAAAATTCTTGACATGACACAGTGGCTGAAGTCTATAATCTCAGCTACTTGGGAGATTTGAGATCCAGAGGATTGCAGTTTGAGGACAGCCCACGCAAAATAATCCAGGAATGCAGTTACAAGTCTGTCATCCCAGCTATGTATGCAGGAGGCCATAGGTAGAAGGATCATGGTCTGAGGCCAGCCCTATGGGAAATAAAACATGAGACTGTACCTGAAAGTGACAAACAAGAAAGGGCTAGGGGCATGACTCAAGTGATAGAGTGCCTGTCTAGTAAATACAGGGCCCTGAGTTAAAAAATCCCAGTGTGGCCAAAAAGAAGAAAAAATTCTTTTCTTAATTAAGAGACAAGTACAAAGTACTCTTGGTAGTCTCAAAAATTTGTTTAAGGTGAGAGTTTTCCAATTCTGCCCAAGTTTCTTCATCCTGACACATGTTCTGGAACCCAGCATCCTCCACTGCCAGCAATGGGAGGGTGCTTCCCACTTGTGTCTGTGGGAACCACAGAGAAAAACCACTCCTTGTTACAGGCAGAAAGCTACTAAGAATGGTCTTGTTACCTGTTCCTCCTGGAGCAGAGCCTGAGATAGATCTGGGAAGGTGCTAGGTATTCTGCCCCAGTGATGGGCCTCGCTATTCCCCCCTACCACATTTAAGAGCAAATTTCAGGGTGATCAGTGCAGTCCATAGGACTTGCTCTCCCTGGCCTCTCACACCCAAGCCAGAGCCCATCCCTGCATAGTTCCTGCCAATCTGTGGAAAGAGGGTTTTCGTCTCACTGAGCCTAGGAATGTATAGTGGCTTCATCCCAAACTCAAAGCAAGGAAGTGGAGAGGATCTTTATAGGAAAAATGTGTCTTGCCCACAAGTGGAGAATAGTGATTTTGTTTATAGGACACAATTATTAAGGTGCCAATGTATGGTGGTGGGGGTGGAGGGAAGTAATGGAGATTGAACTCAGGGACTTATCCTCACTAAGCAATTGCTCTACCACTTGAGTCATGCCCCCCACCCTTTTGCTTTTAGATTGTTTTTCAGACAGGATGTTTAGCTTTGGCCTGGGCTATCTTCAGACCACAGTGCTTCCACCTTCATCTCTTGGTTACAGGTATGTGCCACCATACCTGGCTTTGTTTTTGAGACAAAGATGTAGCTAACTTTTGCCTGGGCTGACCTCAAATTTTGATCCTCCTATCTCTACCTCCCTTGTAGCTGGAATTACAGGCATGAGCTACCTCTGCCAATCTTTGAGTAAACTTAGCAAAGTTGCTGGGAAGAAGAATGCTGAAGACTGTGTCTCAGAACCGGGTGCTGGTGGCTCATGCCTGTAATCCTAGCTACTCAGGAGGCAGAGATCAGAAGGATTGTGTTTCAAAGCCAGCCTGGGCAAATAGCTCACAAGACCCTATCTTGAAAAACCTATCACAAAAAGGGCTGGCTGAGTGGCTCAACGTAAATGCCCTGAGTTCAAACCCCAGTACCACAAAAAAAAAAAAAAAAAGACTGTCTCAGGATATCATGACTGGTTGAAAATGTGAAATCAGACCCTTTTTTTGGAATCATACTCTTGTTAGTATGTCCAATTTTGAGAACCATTTTGAGCTAATTTTCACTCGAAGCTCCAAATTTGTGAGTGAATTATTTAGATTCTTTTTTTTTTTTTCTGCATTGATAGTTCTCTGCTCTGGAGCATTAAGTTTTATTGCCAGAATTCTTCCCTTGTTAATGAATCCTCCTGTCTCCCAAACATTCTACCAAATATATTAGTTTCCTGTGCTGCTGTGACAGATCACCATAAACTGTGTTGCTTAAGACAACAGGAAATTATTCTCTTACAGATCCAGAGGCTAAACGTTCAAAGTCAAAGTCTGGGCAGGGCCACATGCCCCTTGGAAGCTCCAGGGGACAATCCTTTTTGCCAATTTCATCCTCTGGTGGTAGCAGCATTCTTTGGTTTGTGGCTACAACACTCCAGTCTCTGCCTCTGTGGTCACATAGCCTCTTTCTCTGTGTGAAATATCCTCCACCTCACTCTTTTTTAACTAATTTTTATTGTAGTAAAAAACACATAACAATATTTAGCAGCTTAACCATTTTTAAATGTACAGTTCAGTGGTAGAAATGCATTCACAGAGCTCTGCAACCAACACCCTCATCTATCTCTGTGATTCTTTTCAACTTGTAACACTGACAGTCTGCCCCCACAAAAAATAACTCCCCAGCCCCTGCCCAGCCTCTAGCAACCATCATCCCTATTTTCTATCTGTTAGAAATATCAGGGTGATGCCATGATCACAAATCAGACAAACATGGTTGAAAGTTGATGGGCAAGGCAAAATTTACTTCTGCACATGGGTATGTGTGTCTCTGACTTAAGTCAGACAAGCCAGCACACACATGGGGCAGGGGGTGAGCAGGAAACTATCTTTCATTTTATCCCTGACATAGGGCTGTCCCTTGCTCTAAAGAGGAAGCTCAGTTTCACATTCTTTGAGATTGACTAAAGTTCGAGGTTTAGGGGAGGGCTTAGGGGAAGAGCAGACATGATTGAAGAGCAGACATTATTGAAGCGCATGTACACGAGACTTAATTTGATTGATGTACTCAAAGACAAAGAGGTGACCCATAAGGCGGGAATTTCTAGGATTCTGGGGAAACTGACACCTGAAATGGCAGCGCCCCTATAATTAACCTTTGGGCCAAGGGGACCTTGAAGCAGAGATTACTTTGGATAATTGATTGTCCTAAAACTAGCAGTTTAAGTTTTAGTACATCAGATGACAAACAGGTCTCTGCTTAAAGGCAGAAACTTTATAGCCAGATGACATGCCACTGAGCACACAGACAACTGGGGAAATCAGCCAATATCCACACAATGACAGACATATTCCATAGTGGGGCTATTAGGCAGGGGAGAAAGGGGTTCAAGCTCACAAACCTGAGATTAAGAATCTCATGCTCTACTGACTGAGCTAACTCTTGACAAAAAAGACTCAATTTAGTTGATTCTTACACTATCTCTTTGAATTTGACTACTTTTGATACCACAGTAGAATCAAACAGTATTTGTTCTTTTGTAACAGTTTTATTTCACGTAACAAGTCTTCAAGGTTCATCTGTGTTGTGGTAAGTGGCAGAATTCCCTTCCTGTTTAAACTAAATAATATTCCATTGTATGGATATACCACATTTTGTTTATCATCTGTTCACTCACATTTTAAGTGTTGTGAACGAGGCCTCTTTCTCAACTCTTTTTGAAGTTTTTTTTTTTTAATTGTTGTTGTTGGGATTTTTAGTTTTATTTTTTTAGATAGCCCAGGCTAGCCTGGAACTTGCAGTCTTCCTGCCTCAGCCTCCTAAGTGCTGGAATACCTGGTGTGTGCCACCACACCTACCTTTGTCCTGACTCTTATAAGCATACTTGTCATTGGATTTAGGGCCCATCCAGGTAATCCAGGATAAGCTCTTCCTCTCAAAATCCTTAGTCACATTTTTGCCATAAAAGGCAATAGCCACAAATTCCAGGACTTTAGGTAGGTCTCATCTTTGGAGGAGCCGTTATACTACACCAAGAATAAAGTTTTCCTTTCATTTTGTCACTCCCCTGACCAAGGAATACAATCAAATCAAACATAACCACTTCCTAGGCTAGAAAATGTATGTACAGAAATATTGTTTTGTTTTCTTTGCAAATGTGTAAGTCAAATAAAATTAGCTAAATGTCTTTTAAATCTCTCTCTCTCCCTCCCTCTATCCCTCCTTCTCTCCCAGTCAGGTACAACTGCCCTGTTCTTTGCTGCCCAGCAAGGCCATAATGACGTTGTGAGATTTCTTTTTGGATTTGGAGCATCCACTGAGTGTAGAACCAAAGTAAGAGAACCTTCTTGATTTCACACCCTCATGAAGAATTTTAGCAGTCATGGGTATTAATTATCTCCTCATCTGTAGTACAAACTTGTGTTTCCCTTTCTGCAAGATTCTCAAGCCTGAGGAAATGCATTTCACAAGGCTGTACATTGGTAGGGCTGGGAATCCTATTGCAAATATTAAATTTCATGGGAAATTACTTAGACTCTTCCTTGCATTAGGATATTAAATTTTATAACCACAAGGGGTACAGTAGCAGGTGACTTTCCAACTTTTCCTGTTTTTGTGTGCTTTATTCTATTTCAAGATCAATCCAACAGACAGGACTCTAAAGTATGTACACTGTTGGGGGGGGCTATTTATGGGAGGGAAGAGGGTGAATGGAGGGAATCAAGGTGAGGGACTATGTTTGATGGACTTCATATACTTATATGAAATAGAACAATGAAACCTCTTGCAGTTGCTTTAAGTGGGGTGGGAAGAGGTTGAGGGGGAGAGATGGTGGGGATGGTCTAACCAATGTACAGTGTAAGCCTATTTGGAATTGTCACAATGAATCCCCCCTGTACAACAAATATATCCTAATAATAAAACATGTTTAAAAAAAGATTAATCCCAATACCATAGTAGGAATTACTAGAAGCATCAATCTGATCCTAGTGAATCTGAGAGATTTCTAAAGATGCCAGGTTGGAAAACAGCTTGTTTTTATGAGCTATCCTTGCTGAAATGTATAGTAAATAATTATAGTTTATATAGTTTGGCAAGAAGTTGTAGCTTTTCCTTTATAGAAATTATTGATTTTTCACTTTTTACATACAGACGAGAAAACTGAGACTGTAGAAAGACTGTGTTCATAATATGATTTCTTCATGGTAATGTTTTGTAGTAGGAGAATTTGAACTACCACAAGATTTTTGCAATTTTTAGCTCATTTCTAGTCTACTCATAATAAAACAAATCCTGAAAATTTGCCTAAGTTGGAAACTTTTAGATTTTTTTAATCCATTATGTGTGCTATTCAGATATCAAGGGAGTTTCCAGTGGACTTTTTCCTGTTCAATGCTGACTATCTAGTAGCTCTGGATTTCATATAGGGTTTGTCTTCTCTGAAACCCGTTGTTAGATTGTGTGCATGGATCCACACATACTGAGTACACTATAGTAATACAAAATATATTAATGTATTTTTTATTAATTATTGCTTTATTTTTCAACTCAACTCTTCGAACAAAGTCAAAATGCTCATATGTGGTCAGATGGCTGCTCCAGTCATCTTAGTTAACAAGTTAATACTGGCTTAATGCCTTTGCACATGAGCCAGCTGGTGCTGTCTCAGAAATGCACAGAACACAGGGTCAAGGATGAGCAATTCCCCATTTCCATGAGGTCAACTGCAGGTGTCTAAGAGCTTTTCATGGGAAGAAGGCAGTGTCAAGAGGTTATGAGATTTAATATGACTCTGTCATCAAAACTTTGTTTTCAACAATTTTAACTGTGTTAGTAATTGCCCTCTTTTTTATTAGATCTGTAAAAATTATAATCTGATGTGCTTTTAAAAATCAAAAAGGTCAGTTCTTGTATTATAATATTGTTTCTTACTATGCTCTTACCTATTAGGCAAAAGCTAGAAAATTGACATGACAGAGCTTGAAAACAGTGGTGCTCACTGATGCTTTTAAGCAATTTCTTGATGCTCCCACACCATCCCCACTCCCAGCCTCAGCCTTCTGCCCCTTGCTCTCTATTCTCCTCCCTTCAGGGCCTAGCTTAGTACCCCTTCCCCACACACAGCCATCCCTCAGTGACTCCTTCTTCAGCCACTCTCATCCCTGCCTGTGAACACAGAGTTCTTATAGCAGAGTTTTTACAGGTAAGGCCACCTGCCACCTGTCTATCACAATCACCTCACAGGACTGGTCAAAAAGGCGTATTTCTGGGCCTCATTCCAGACCTACTGAATCAGACCCTCTGAAGGTGGAACTCCCTTCTAACAAAAACCCTATGCCCAGATTTAGAAACCACACTATCATTTTTATGATTTCTATTTTTGAGCCAGATTATATTCTTGAATTATTTTTTATTAGCTTAAATGTCCACATAGCAATTCACAGAGCCAGATAAGCAACTCAACAATCCTAGATGGGAAAAGAAAATGCGTTACTAGTAGCATCTGAGAAAAACCATTAGTGGTTTTCTTAGACCACAAACTTGGTGAGTCAGTAGTGTGATGAGGCTGACATAAGAGCTAATTCTAATTTAGGCTGCAGAGATAAAAGTAGAGAGGATGGAACAAAGGAATATCCCATTCCACATAAGAGCACACCTACTTTACAGTGCTCTACTTAGTTTTAGGGCCCATACTTTAAAAGAGACCTGGACAAACTGGCACATGTTCAGAGAAAAATACTAAGCAGGAACGTGAGAGGCACATGGCATACTGTCTTTTTATTATTATTATTATTGTTTTATTATTCATATGTGCATACAAGGCTTGGGTCATTTCTCCCCCCTGCCCCCACCCCCACCCTTACCACCCACTCCACCCCCTCCCTCTCCCCCCTACCCCCTCAATACCTGGCAGAAACTATTTTGCCCTTATCTCTAATTTTGTTGAAGAGAGAGTATAAGAAATAATAGGAAGGAACAAGTGTTCCTGGTTGAGATAAGGGTAACTATACAGGGAGTTGACTCACATTAATTTCCTGTGCGTGTGTGTTACCTTCTATGTTAATTCTTTTTGATCTAACCTTTTCTCTGGTTCCTGGTCCCCTTTTCCTATTGGCCTCAGTTGCTTTTAAGGTATCTGCTTTAGTTTCTCTGTATTAAGGGCAACAAATGCTAGCTAATTTTTTAGGTGTCTTACCTATCCTCACCCCTCCCTTGTGTGGTCTCGCTTTTATCATGTGCTCAAAGTCCAATCCCCTTGTTGTGTTTACCCTTGATCTAATGTCCACATATGAGAGAGAACATACGATTTTTGGTCTTTTGGGCCAGGCTAACCTCACTCAGAATGATGTTCTCCAATTCCATCCATTTACCAGCGAATGATAACATTTCATTCTTCTTCATGGCTGCATGAAATTCCATTGTGTGTAGATACCACATTTTCTTAATCCATTTGTCAGTAGTGGGGCATCTTGGCTGTTTCCATGACTTGGCTATTGTGAATAGTGCCGCAATAAACATGGGTGTGCAGGGGCCTCTGGAGTAACCTGTGTCACAGTCTTTTGGGTATATCCCCAAGAGTGGTATTGCTAGATCATATGGTAGATCAATGTTTAGCTTTTTAAGTAACCTCCAAATTTTTTTCCAGAGTGGTTGTACTAGTTTACATTCCCACCAACAGTGTATGAGGGTTCCTTTTTCCCCATATCCTCGCCAACACCTGTTGTTCGTGGTGTTGCTGATGATGGCTATTCTAACAGGGGTGAGGTGGACTCTTAGTGTGGTTTTAATTTGCATTTCCTTTATTGCTAGAGATGGTGAGCATTTTTTCATGTCTTTTTTGGCCATTTGAATTTCTTCTTTTGAGGCAGTTCTGTTTAGTTCACATGCCCATTTCTTTATTGGTTCATTGGTTTTAGGAGAATTTAGTTTTTTAAGTTCCCTATATATTCTGTTTATCAGTCCTTTGTCTGATGTGTAGCTGGCAAATATTTTCTCCCACTCTGTGGGTGTTCTCTTCAGTTTAGAGACCACTTCTTTTGATGAGCAGAAGCTTTTTAGTTTTATGAGGTCCCATTTATCTATGCTATCTCTTAGTTGCTGTGCTGCTGGGGTTTCGTTGAGAAAGTTCTTACCTATACCTACTAACTCCAGAGTATTTCCTACTCTTTCCTGTATCAACTTTAGAGTTTGTGGTCTGATATTAAGATCCTTGATCCATTTTGAGTTAATATTGGTATAGGGTGATAAACCTGGATCTAGTTTCAGTTTTTTGCAGACTGCTAACCAGTTTTCCCAGCAGTTTTTATTGAAGAGGCTGCTATTTCTCCATCGTATATTTTTAGGTCCTTTGTCAAAGACAAGTTGGTTATAGTTGTGTGGCTTCATATCTGGGTCCTCTATTCTGTTCCACCTTGTCTTCATGTCTGTTTTTGTGGCATACTGTCTTCTAATGGAGGCATATCTTGTCTCATAAAAGCAATGGCCCCAGAGAGTTCCCCATAAAAGCATCTTAAACGCAGTGACTTATACCTGGGTGGCACCACAGGGAGCAGCCAATGTCTGCCAAAAGAACCTCTGGCCCAAAGCCATGAGATGCTCTTCTGGTAATTCCAAGGCAGAATAGCCAAGACTTGGTATGGACATTCTGTTCAGTGTTTGCCATATTGAGAGTCAAGTAGATGATTCTGCATTTGGCGAAAACTTCTAAATCATAATAACTTGTTGGATTCCTTTAATATACCTCTAATTAAGTCATCCAGCTGTACAACATGATTCTCCTTAAGGCAAACCCTGTCATGATTATAAAGAAAAGGTAAAAGGGATTTTAAAAAGCAAAGTGAGTTTGTTATCGTCTGTGGAAAGGTTCTCTTCCAAAGTTCTGTCTATGTGAGGAGCATCTGCTTGGTAAAATGTGTGCCTGCACCATTTCTAATGTGTTTATACCTTCATGTACACAGGACGGGGGCACTGCTCTGCTGGCTGCCAGTCAGTATGGACACATGCAAGTAGTGGAGACCTTGTTGAAGCATGGAGCCAACATCCATGACCAACTTTATGTGAGTGCCTGTCAAGGGGACATTCAGTGACACATAACACTGCAGTGTAAATTCGAATGTCAGAAATACCAGTATCAGAAATATCTTAATAAACAGTGAGACTTCAATCTGAAACATAAAGGGAAAAAGGTATAGCCAACCAGATGAGTTTTTTCTATGATAGAAACCACATAATACCCATCTTTATTTTCCCTTTTAAATTTGTTGTACAGCTGAGACATCTTGGCTACCTATATGATTAAGGCCTTCCAAAATCATATGACATATTATTTACTTAGACCATGACAAACCACATAGTCCGGCATATGGACTTGCTAAAAACCAAAATATACTCGCCTGTTGTAGCATTATTTGTATGGAAGGGCATAAAGAGGAAAAGTCAAAGGATTTGAAAGATAAATGAAGATAAATAATGATCTGTGAAATGTATGCTCACCCTAGACCTTTAACAGCCATCTGTGGCTAGCAGGTCTATTCAGAGCTAATTAGCAATTAGCACATTACCCAAGGATTTTTTTAATGTCACTGTAATTCCATGGAATTTATGGTAAATGTTATCTGGTTTTGTAGGAAAAATAAAATATGGGGAGATGAAGTGATTTGACAGAGTCTCATGGAGACGAGGGGAATAATTCCTATTTCCAATTATGGAACCATATTTTAGTCCATCCTATAAGTACACATTTAGCCCTTCTGCCTTAGGCACTTTGCTTTCATAACCATGTAATGAGCTGTGTAGGTGTGAATGTTTCCATTTGAATATCTTTCCAGAATTTACCTAGTTAATTCTGACATATCATAGGCCTCTTTGAAGTTCATAGCAAGTAGCTTCATCCTCTGGCACTTCAAAATCTTGTTATACTTTTTGAACCTGCAGCATATCAGTAAAATGAATGAATTACTTGCAAATGATCTAAACAAGTGATTCTCAACCCTGGCTGCCTATAAGAATCTTGGCAAGCTTTCAAAAATACCCATTCCCAGACCCATTCAAAGCAGGCCAACCAAACCAGAGTCTCTTGAGGCCATAACTGGAGCAATTTCTTAGACCACGTCTAAGAAACATAGGTCTAAAGTTGTGGGTATTTCTTTGGCTATACATAGGTAAAGTATAACCGAGAGTGTGTACTAGTACATGTATGTGTAGGCTGAATAGGAAGAGCCAACGTCTTTGTAAAGAGAAAGTCAGTTGTGATTTTCACAGCATGACCATTAATAGTCATCAATCCAAATCGACTGTGTATGTAGAATTGGTATTAACTGAGATAATATTCTTCTAGAAGGTTCCTACTACATAATGTTAGAAATGTAGAGTTTGGGGGGAGCCCCTTTCCTAATAAGTTCCTCTTTGCTATAAGGTGACTCAAAAATTTCATGCCCCATAACTTCCATTTTACTTTAAGACATTTACCCTCACCTCCGTAGTCCAAATGTTTCCATTAAAAACAACTGAAACATGTGAGTTGGGGGCAGAGTTCAAGGATCCCTGAAAACTTCTAAGAAGAGAAACTTGAGGTGCATAGTGAAAAATTCAGTGCATGGATAGTCTGGTTCAGAAAATTTCTGAGGGCTGGTGGAGTGGCCCAAGTGTTAGAGTGCCTGCCTAGCAAGCCTGAGGCCCTGAGTTCAAACTCCAGCATGGCCAAAGAAAAAAGAAAGAAAGAAAATTACTGACAATCAGCTGCTTCTAAGGGCATGGTAGACTTTCTGTGACAACACATTAAGGAGCAGCTGAAAAGTTTGTCCCTGTATCAAACATCTGCTTATAAATCTGTACAACTTGATTAATTATTTAAACTATTGCCTTGAGGGCACACTGGCAGCTCAGCTGACTCCTGCTGGAAGTCTAGTCCCTTCCGTGTGGCATACCTGATTGAACTTGCAGGGAAAGGTGTTGTGTGTTTTAGCTTTTGGTTAGCATTCCCAACCAGAGGTTTATAATCAGCTAGATTGACTGGGTATTCTCCATGAGGGTGTGCTCAGGTTTTCCACCAGGGTCTAGAAACAGAGAAGCCTACTCTGCTGTGTGCATACTCTGGGAGTGAAGTGAGCCTCCAAGACAATGCATGCATGCTCTCAGCTGACTCACAGATTTGCCAAAATTACCCAATGACATGTTTCCAAGAAAAAAAAAGAAATGACCAGAAGACATAGACACCCAATTAAAAAGAGAATTGGAGTACATGCTTAGGGCTTTATGCAAAATTGCCTTTTGTATTTCTAAGTATTGTTGATGTCTGCTGGACAGGCAAGGAGTAACTTCATAGAGATTCTAAGGCAGTTTTTTGAAAGCATGCCTTTTAGTTAATTTTTTCTTTTTGCAGTGCTGGGAATCGATCAAACCCAGAGCCTGGTATATGATAGGCCAGCGCCCTTCCAATGAGCTACACCCCCAGCTCCACCATGACGTTTAATACTTGAGAAAACTGAATGTTGGGGGGACAGGGATAAGGGCGCAAGAAAGAGATTCTTTCTAATCTTTTTTTAGATTAGAAATCTAATCTAAAAGAGCACTTATCGCAATTCGTAAAAACACGTAAAAATGTGTTTGGGACATTTAACACTTAGCTCTGAATTGACAAATTGATAGAAAAGAAAAATTACACTAAATGTATATGTTTTACTATATATATATATATATATAAAATTGAACACTTTTAATTTGTTATCTCTCAGGATGGAGCCACCGCCCTCTTCCTAGCTGCCCAAGGTGGTTACTTGGATGTTATTCGATTACTGTTGTCTTCAGGAGCAAAAGTCAACCAGCCAAGGCAGGTAATGTTATTGATGAAGTATGCCCAAGTGCGTGGAGCATAAGGCAGGGAGGGCCAGGTCTCCCCTGGCCCCACATACCAGCGATAACCAGGCAGCTTTAGGCATTCTTAAAACCCTTTTGCTCTGTGATGAAAAGTTAATTTTTGATTAAGGTTTCTCCTGTTCTGTGCTTTAGACTCACCTGAAAGCCTGTGAAATCAACTTGACATCACAATCCAGTGCTTTTTAATACTTAAGTGTTTAGCATCCGAGGTCAAGTACACATTCTGTCACCTCCTGTTCAAATAAATTATGGCTGCACTAAAGTAATGAGTGTTGACTGGCCTGGGAAGGAGGTAAAAAGAGGCAATTCCCTGCCTGGTCCCTCTGTTAATATGTTGCCTTATGTTGTACCCTCCACTTCTTCTACTGAGCCAAATAGGAGCCTATGTCCGTGGAATTATAAGTAGGCTCTATACCTTCATCTCTGTAATCATAACACTCTGGAGACTTCATTTGTCAACAGTCTGCTAACATCTGACTAATCAACTAACTCATACTTAAAGGAACAGAAATGCAAGATAACACTGGCAACACTTTATAAAGGGTAAAGAGCCCTCCAAATGTAAGGCAGCACAATTAGCTGCTCTACTATATGAACTATGTCTGCCCAATTAATTTTTTAACAAAACATTTCAGATTAAGGAAACATTACTATAAAGGTAGTTTTTAAGGGAAAGGTCAAGCCAATTTCTTACCAGTAATGACCCCATCAGGTTCCCACTATAATTGGCCTGGTATAGAAACGCCTGGATGTTTATATAATGAATAGCTACTGAGGACCTTAGGTTGCTCTGAGCTCCTGGCCATAAGGCTTCTTGGGTCTTCAGAAGTCTAAGTGCATAAGGAAGAAAAAGCAGGTTTCACATCAGGAATCCAGAGTTGTAGATTCAGCTCTGCTAATAACTAACTGTGTGGTTTTGTATAAGCAAATAAACCTCTCTGAGAAGTCATGTGACAATTAGAAGGCTGGACAGGATGAGCCTGACAGACTCTTCAAACTTCCAAAGTTTTAGTAATTATTTTATTCCATGTTCAATCAGTTTTTGCCAAGCCCTGTGCTACAAATTTTAAATTGTATTTTTAGAATTTTAAAGATCTTCTTAGCTTTAGATGTCCCCAGAAATATTCTTGGGAAAGGAAGCTGTGTAAAACACCATTGGCCTGCCAAAGGTAAATTTGGGGGTTGAAGCTTAATATTTTCTCATCAGTTCTTTTTATTTTGAAATTATTGATTGAGTCTGAATCAGAGGCTTCATTTTTACCAAGTTAATTAAAGAAATTGGTGAGTATTAAGTTGTATAAATTGATTTGGAGACCATTATCAAAGGCACCTCTGTGAACTTACACATGAGATTGTCAAGATTATCAAGTCTGTCAGTACCACCTTCTGAAATAACTTCTGGCACTTTGACAAATCAATTTGCAAAAGAGATTTTATTATTCATACCCTAAAGTACTATTTGTAAACAAAAAAGAACCCAAATTGATATGGTATCTCAAAGTTTTCATAGGTCATATGCACTTGAACCCAAACTGAGTCATAAGTGTTGATGTTAAAGCCAAGAAGTTAAAGAGTAAACCAATGCTACAGTGGTAACCACAACACACCTCAGTTGTTTTCATTCCTCAAGAATGAGGGTAACCTAGTCAGAGTGGATGACCTGGGCCCGTGAGTGTGAGGACCCACCCTCTGATTAAGGAGCGAGTGACACACCCTTCCAAAGACTGCATCTAATGTGGTACTTTTGAATCTAAGAGGCCACCTCTGAAAAGATTGTTATTCAGGAAAAGGGTGTTTTATAAAATAAGAATTGCTTTGGAGAAAATAAAGCAATGGAATGTTTCTTTTTTCTAGAGTACACTCATAATCATTGTGCTCTCAAATCATAATCGGCTTTGCTACCTACTGTGAGCCTATAATAAAAGGCTGTTATCTATCTAGGTCAGACTGGTTCACCTTCCCCCTTCTCTGAAAATTAACCTCTGCTGGCTTCACTCTGTTTTAAGAAAACAAATAATGTCATAAATATGACAAAAATGATACCAGCCCTGGGTGACTTGGTAACAGGTTATAAGGAGGTTAAAAACAAAATGTAGTTAAACGTTTCTGTTAAAATGGCCTGCACGTGATAGAATGTGTTATAGAAAGGACATCTGGAAGCCACTGTTTTGTTTTGAAATCGCAGCTGACGAATGAGTCATTATCAGAAAATTCTTGAATTTATAAGGACAAGGATGCATGCCTGGTTTCGTTCCTTAATATTTTAGATAAACCTAATTTATAATTTTTGCACCACCATTTTATGACATCTTGTGACAGGGGGTTAAAGTTGCATTGAAACTGACATTTGATCTGAGCTACAGGGAATTGTAGCTGTAGCAGGAATGTCTTTTCCTTGTGACTCTATCACTGAGAACTAAATGGAGACTTTTTTAGTACTTTGTGCTGAGGAATCATAATCACAAAGTCAAGCACAGTCAGATATTGGAATGACTATGTTCTTGATTTGAAACTTGAGAAGATTCTTCCACTTCATCCTAGCCTGTAATCCTAGCTACTCAAGAAGGCAGAGATCAGGAGGATCATGATTCAAAGCCAGCCCAGACAAATAGTTCTCAAGACCCTATCTCAAAAATAACCATCACAAAAATGACTGGCAGTATGGCTCAAGATGAAGGTCCTGAGTTCAAGCCCCAATACCACCAAAAACAAAAAAAAAGAAAAAGAAAAAAAAAAAAAACATAGACCATTGAAATCTAGTCACACTAAAGCCCATTTCATCAAGTAAAGTGGATATGAGTCAAACCTCTAATCACTAGCTAAATAGTCTATTTAGTCAATATTTTTCTTTTTCTTCCTTCCTCCTTTTTTTCAGTATTGGGGTTTGAATTCAGGGCCTTGTGCTAGGCAAGTGCCCTGCAACTTGTGCCACACCTCCAGCTCTTTTTGCTTTAGGTTACTTTTTAGATAGGGTCTCAATTTTTTGCCTGGGCTGGTCTGGACAGTCGTTCTCCTACTTATGGCTTCCTGCATAGCTGAGACCACAGTTACACACTACACCTGGCTTCTTTGTTGAGATGGGGTTTAACTTTTTTGCCCTGGCTGGTCTCGAACTGCAATCCTCCCAATCTCTACATCCCATATAGTTAGATTTTTATATCAACAAAATGCCTTGACATATGCTTTTTTTCAACTCAACTCACCCACTTTACTAACACAATATTTTCTGGAGTGGCAAGGTTCTGATTCTGTTTACCCAGAGCTCAAATTGGTCTGTCACATTCATCTCTACACAGGCCTTCTCATGTGCTAATCAGCATTTCTCTGAAGTCCAACAGAAGGGCCATCTAATAAAGTGCCTTCTCTAATGGAAGCCTTAGGTTGAACTTGTAGCCAGAGTTGCTGGGACCCAGCAAGTAAATGTTATTCCAGGTCACAAGCTTGGAGGGGTGAGTCCAGAGGGGGAAAGAAGAGTGTATAGATTGGCACAGTATTCTGAGGGTTTGGGGACAGGAGCAGCCAGCCATATTAAGGCTGGCAGAGAGCCATGACTATCTTTTTGTTTGTTTGTTTCTGGGTTTATAACAGCTTTATTTATTTTTTTTATTATTCATATGTGCATACAAGGCTTGGGTCATTTCTCCCCCCTGCCCCCACCCCATCCCTTACCACCCACTCTGCCCCCTCCCTCTCCCCCCTCAATACCCAGCAGAAACTATTTTGCCTTTATGTCTAATTTTGTTGTAGAGAGAGTATAAGCAATAATAGGAAGGAACAAGGGTTTTTGCTGGTTGAGATAAGGATAGCTATACAGGGAGTTGACTCACATTAATTTCCTGTACGTGTGTGTTACCTTCTAGGTTAATTCTTCTTGATCTAACCGTTTCCCTAGTTCCTGGTCCCCTTCTCCTATTGGCCTCAGTTGCTTTTAAGGTATTTGCTTTAGTTTCTCTGCTTTGAGGGCAACAAATGCTAGCTAGTTTTTGAGGTGTCTTACCTATCCTCATACCTCCCTTGTGTGCTCTCCCGTTTATCTTGTGATCAAAGTCCAATCCCCTTGTGTGTTTGCCCTTGATCTAATGTCTGCATATGAGGGAAAACATACGATGTTTGGTCTTTTGGGCCAGGCTAACCTCATTCAGAATGATGTTCTCCAATTCCATCCATTTACCAGCGAATGATAACATTTCATTCTTCTTCATGGCTGCATAAAATTCCACTGTGTATAGATACCACATTTTCTTGATCCATTCGTCAGTGGTGGGACATCTTGGCTGTTTCCATAACTTGGCTATTGTGAATAGTGCCGCAATAAACATGGGTGTGCAGGTGCCTCTGGAGTAACCTGTGTCACATTCTTTTGGGTATAACCCCAAGAGTGGTATTGCTGGATCATATAGTAGATCAATGTTTAGCTTTTTAAGTAGCCTCCAAATTTATTTCCAGAGTGGTTGTACTAGTTTACATTCCCACCAGCAGTGTAAGAGGGTTCCTTTTTCCCCTACCCCGCATCCTCACCAACACCTGTTGGTGGTGTTGTTGTTAATGATGACTATTCTAACAGGGGTGAGATGGAATCTTAGTGTGGTTTTAATTTGCATTTCCTTTAAGCAATGACTGTCTTAGTGCCTCAGCACATGGTAGGTATTGAGAAGAGGTGTGTTGAGTGCCAAAAGACACCAGTAGCTTGGGCAGAGCACCAAGAACATCTGCAAGCCTATGGCACAGAGTAATCCACAACTGAAAACTAGAAGACTAGTTGTAGAGCCCAGGCTTGTGGGTAGCACAGCAGCCCAGGAAGACTCTGAAGGGCAGCTAGGGAGCCAGACCTGGGTCCTGGGTGAGGAGAGGCTGGTTGTTATGGGGATATGGAGGTATTAAAGAAATGAAATTTATTGGCTATATGACCTTGAGTAAGTTGTCTACTTCCCCTGAACCTCAGTTTCTTTTTTCATCTGTAAAACCAGGACAATTGCAGCACCTCTGCCATAGCATTGCTATGAGAATTATAAATATAAAATAACCCCTGAGTAACTCTTAATATAGCGACTCTGGGTCAGGGTAGGGCTGGTAACAAAATTGTCTTGGTATTGAACCCCATCTGCTGCTGGCAAGATTCCTTGCATGTGTTTGACCCTAAACTTAGACTAGAATTTGTCCCCAAGACTGGTCTGAGCCTGAAGGTGGAAGTAGCCCGTGCATGAGGACTGCAGGCAGTACAAAGAGCTCATGACACTTTTTATCCTTGTTCCTATGAGAATACTTTATGTTCTTTTCTCTAAATAATCTTTCTAGCCAGGTGTGCAGGTGGGCTGAGGCAGGAAAGGAAGACCCTGTCTTCTCTCCCGCATACACACACACACACACATACACACACACACACACACAAAATCACCCTATTTAACCATGCATCCATCTGATGTCCTTTTTTTTTAATGTGACTGGAGTTTGAACTCAGGGCTTTGTGCTTGCAAAGCAGAAACTCTACCTCTTGAGCCACATCTCCAGTCCTCATCTGGAGTCCTTTCTATTATCATCACCCAGCCCTGTTGAATACCTTGAGGAATGGGGAACTCATTACCATCTCATCACTTAGTAGGCTTTAGCCAACCCTCATTATACTTTAGTTCTCCCATTGACCCCGAGTCTCCAACCGACTTTCATCCATCAGTCCTCTTTTATCACTCAGTTTACAAATAAGTCTAAATCCTTTTCTACTTGGTATACGCACAAATAGTAAGTGACTGCTGCCATAACTCCATGAATCTTACCTTCTTCAAGCTAAATGTTCTGATTCCTTTTTTCTTTCAATGCTGTGAATAAATTACATAAATCTATCTTAAAATCTATTTTAAAATTTGATAGATTTTAAAACTATTTTTGTTCAGAAGTATCCCAAAACTTGTTTAAATATCTTTTTGTCCATTCTGATTCTCTCCAAAACTCTTCAAAGGGGAGCTAACTTGCCTTGTTTTTCATCATTTTCGTTATGAAAATGAAGAGACAGACCATTATAAAGGAGGAAAAGTAAAACAGAAATTGAAGTGTACAGAAGACGAAAACCTCTCCTATTCACAAGATATTAAGTGACAAATAATTTGAGTTGACAATGATGCTCTAACTCACATGCAACTCTCTGGGTTAAAAAAACAGATTGGGAGACGTAATCACCAGTAATGAAAAACACAGATGACCCCACAGCTCCTTTTACCAGTCTGTCCTACCTCTCACCCAGCAATTGTCTTAGAGTCCCTGGGAGAATCCATTAAAGAAAGTAGGTAGAGAGCCATAAAATAAATAAAATGAAATAAAGTAGGTGGAAGTACTTGGTGAACCAGCAGTACAAATGAAGGTGCTTATTGTTTTTCATGATAAACAATTCTAAGATTCAGTTAACATTTCTAAGCATCTGTTAGGCAGTGCTTCTGCTCACTGCCTTTATGTCCATGTTCTGAGGCTGAGGCATTGCCTAAGATCTCGCAGCCAGGAAGTGGTGACTATTCCAATTAAGATAATAGAGCTGAGTGTTGCCATGACTGTTAAAAATTGATAATAGTAATAATGGCTCGCAGTATAGGCATTTTTGTACTTTTCCACATGTAGTTTTACTAAAACAACTGAAAGTCCTTGAAAGGCACTCCCATCAGGCAGCCCAGCTCCCTTTCCTGCCTGCCCTCTGGTGGAGACATCCACAAACAACACAATGGACCCTGAGCAGGCAAGGAGGGGAGAAGTGCCTGGGCCCCTGAGTGAAGGGAAAACCTCCAACATTAGGTCCCTGGAACCCAGGCTCCCTCTGCTGCCTCCTGGAGCCCTGCCCACACCCCTGTGCAAGAACAGCTGGGATGCTCATCCTGCCTGCCAAGTCATGCCTGTCCAAGCCACTGTGACTATAAATGCTCTGCCTGTTGCCTGCACTGAATGATCTTCCCCTCTCGGCCACCTGAGAAAATCCTGGTCCTCCTTCAAGACCCAACTCAGATATCACCCCATCTGTGAAGCTGGTCCTTAACCCTCACACGATAGGAGGGCCCCTCTCCCATTTCATTGTGTGCAAGCTTGTCCATACTTTAATGCATCACCGCAATCATAAGGAAATTTCCACATCTCTTCTCTCAGTTGAGTTTCTTTGAGAACAGAGACTGTGTCTTATTTTAGAATTCTGTATGAGATGTGGAAGATGCTTAATAATTGTTGGTTGGTTGAATAAATGAATGCTTGGTTAAATCCTGAATTGGGAGAATCCAATGAAAGAAGGTACAAGTGCTTTGTAAAGACAAACAATACCTTAATTTGTACTTTTAGCTTTGTATTTTTAGTACAAATGATAATTTGCTAATTATAAATAATATTCAGACTCAATATTTCCAAGAGGCCTAGGGAAAAGTATGAAGGATGTGTGAAGCATATAAAAATGTCTTAATTTTCCTTTGTTTCAGCAACTCCTCCCTCACTTCTCCCAAGAAAGAGGTGCCAACATCCTCTGACCACCTCTCAGCACCCCAGCTCCTCCTGGGTTTTCAATTTGCCATCTTCTACCATCCCACTCAAATGTCTTTGTTTTCCGAACCTTTGCCAGGGAAACAGACAATAATCCTGAGCCTGCGTTAGCTAGTAGGCAAGGGTTGAAATTACACACTACAGCAGAAGATGTAACTTTAGATTCTATAACTGCATCATCGTGCTATGTAGGCCCCATTTCCATGGATAGGTAAATCAGAATTACCTGACTAAAACAGACCCTTGGAGCTACAGTACAGTAATGACCTCAGAGATTAAGGTTAGCCAATTCCAAATTCTGTTCCCTCCCCGCTGCCCTTCTTTCCAGTGTGACCTAAGCTCTCAGAAGTGTCACCTGACACTTAAGCCTCAACTTTGTGCTGCCCACTCTGGCCCTTAAATATCCTGCCCTGCTTCCCAGAGATGCAGCAGGCCCCTTGTCATGAAGTTGTGCCTCTGTGGCCTTGTCTCTCTGACACCAGGCTTCCTCCAGACCACTGTTTCCCTAGCACTTCCAGTTTTCCACAGGGACTCCTGAATACCCAGATGCTGAGTAGATATGGGCATGGGGATTGAGGGATGTCTCAGGTCCACCATTTCTCCTTTATCTCATAGGCACTGGCCAGAACAGAGCTTCTCTATGGGACTCGGGATTTTCCTAGACGTCATTCTAAGAAAAGGAGAAAATTCTTTCCCATCTGCAATTACCCATAATTTATCTGAATGTTCCTACCACCCCTAGCTTGCTACTCTCCTGTCCCCCATGTGCCCAGATTCAACCCAGAAAGGAAGGAAAATGGGAGCACTCCTCTGTCTTGCTCCTCTTTCCTGCTGCACTGGAAGGGTTTCTCATTTTCCATTCCTTCTGGCAGGTACAACCATACTGTCAAATCCTTTCACCTTTTCTTCTGGAGCAATCATCTCAGTCTCATGACCTCAGGGTCACAGAAAAAAAGGGGAGTTGGAAAACAATATACAAGAAATGTTACCAAAAATGTCCTGCTTAGGGAGTGTCACCTAGAAGAAGCAACATCACCTTCCATATTTTATTCCATAAAATAAGCCTAAGCTCCCTTAAAACATGATGTGGCTGTGGGAGACTTTGGACAGCAGGGAGAAGAGTAGGAGAAATATGTTCTCTGACCTGTAGCCCACACCTCAAGGGAAATTCCCCACTTGACCATGGACATGAAGGGTCTGTGTTAGGCAGGGTGTGTAGTATCCTCTTAATGCCTCCGGCAGGAAAGCTGAGGAATTGATTGACAGGGAATAAAGGCGGCTGGCTTTTCCTCTCTGGGTGTATGGAATTTGGTTCTGCCTTTGTGTGCAACCCCAGAGCCCCACCCCCCGAACAAGGTTCCACACAGCTGTCCATGAAGTGTGTATCACACTCTGGGGTTAAAGCTCCACCCCTAAAATGGCTCATTTTGTGACCCAAAAATTGGACACTGGCAGCTATTCTAGTGGTCCAGTGTGGGGAGTGGACTATGAGAAGCCTGTGAAAAACCTGAGGTAAGCACAGCTGTGCCCAATAATCTACAGGCTAGGTTTGGCATGGCTGAGTCACAAAAGAGAGGGAGAGACAAAATGCAGCAGAGCTGCTTTTCCTCAGCTGTTTACATTCAGAGAAGTAGGAAGGCAGGTTTCTCTTGTACAATGTCACACCCCTCCCAGAGAAGCGTTGCTCCACCTCCTTGTTTACCACTGGATATAAAAGACTTGCTGAAAGGGGGACAAGAGGATTTTTTGATGGGGGGTTGATGGATGGATGTTCTGATGAGGGATTCTGATTGGCTGCCTGCGGGCTGCTTGTGACACTGCCCCTGAATGAATGATGCAGCTCGCTGCCGCTGCCGCTGCCACCTTATGCTAGAGATTAGAGGAAACATGGGACAATGCAAGTCTGAGGGCCAAGACTTTAAGAGAGATTAAAGAAAACATGGGACAGAGCTAGTCTAAGGAAACAAACTTTAAAGAATAGTGAAGAAGTAAAGCTTTAAAGAATAGAGAAGACCTTAGTAGTAAGGTTTTAAAGATAGAGAAAAGAAGCAGAGTAAAAGAAGAGTTAATAGAGAAAAGAAGCAAGGAGGCTGTTGTGCATCTCCATCCGAGTGCCCAGCACACTTGGCCCCAGCTTTGTCTTCTATCCATTGGCCTTTCTGCATCTCCAGCCACCTCCAGTTAGGTCAGTAGGACCAGCAGTTCCAGAAAGCTCTCTGCAGTCCAGGCAGTGCCAAACATCAGTCTGTGGCAAGGGGGTAAGCACCCTTTTCCTCTCTGGACACCTCTTCCCAGGGTTTGGGGTTTCAGAAACTCAGCATTTCCTATGTTCTGGGGACTGGTAGATCCAGCCCCAGTCACACAGGCCACCTCTCCCCACAGGACGGAACGGCCCCCCTGTGGATCGCATCCCAGATGGGTCACAGCGAGGTGGTGCGGTGATGCTGCTGCGTGGAGCTGAGCGCGACGCTGCACGCAACGTGAGTTCCCTGGGGTTACCACAGCTACCAAATGGAGCCACCCAACTCACTGGGCTCAGATGTTTAGTCTGTAACTCACCTGGACTTCCTCCTAAACTCCACCTGCTGTGTAACAGGAAAACAAAGTCCAAGTCTGATTCCGTAGAAACTCTGCTGGCTCTGTCCTCACCCAGATGACTTCTGGGGAGGGTGGACTCTTGCTTGGCCTCAGGCGTTGGGTGGGGCATACAGAGTCTGTAGATGCGGTCCAGCAGTGTCCCTGGCTGGCTGCACCGCCCCTGGCTCCCTGCAGCGGCAGAGGCCTGCGCCATATCCCCTGCACCTGCTGTCCACTGTGGCCCCTGTGCCCGCAAAAGCAGGTTCTTTGCCTCATAGGAGCTAAGGACAATGTGGGAGATCCTGCCCATAGTGGGCTGTTTGCTTTTGTCTCACTGCGCCAGGCCTCTTTGCCTTTGTAGTATCTTTGCCTATGTATGTGAGCCACCTTACCCTCCACAAGTCTAAACCCAGAAAACAGAAATTTGAAGGCACATTCCTGTCCTCTCTCCCACTCTCTTTTTCCTTCTTCCTGCCATCTCTGATACTAGTGAAGAAGAATCCCCTGAGCCCACCTTCCTTCCACATCCCAGATAAGCTCCTGATTCCAGTCCCTTGGAGTTAATCCTCCAAACACCACAGTTGGTACCTTGAAGCAGGTAACTGGAAGGAATTTGGAAAATCTCTTCTTGAGCCAAAAACGACTAAGGCTGAATATTCATTTTTAAGCTTGTCTTTGCATTCTTTTTTTTTAAGCATATTTCATGCTATCCTTCCTCCCCCCCCACCCCCCCACCCCACCTCACAGAGGCAAATACATAGGGTGAGCTAGTATAAATGTTTAAAACAGTCAATGCAATGCAACAGTAAGTCATTAAAGACAGGTACACAATTTCTCCTAAGTCACGAACAGCAGAGACTGCCTCTTGGGTCCATTAGAACCCTAAAAATATGATCTGGACATTCCCTTTGTCCCTGACCCATTGTTCTAAGGGATGGTAGACTTCTAGAACAATACAAGTAGTCACATACTGTGTTTGATATTCTCTCATGCATAATTTTTTTTCCTTTTTCTTTTATTATTCATATGTGCATACAAGGCTTGGTTCATTTCTCCCCCCTGCCCCCACCCCCTCCCTTACCACCCAGTCCGCCCCCTCCCTCTCCCCCCCTCAATACCCAGCAGAAACTATTTTGCCCTTATCTCTAATTTTGTTGTAGAGAGAGTATAAGCAATAATAGGAAGGAACAAGAGTTTTTGCTGGTTGAGATAAGGATAGTTATACAGGGAGTTGACTCACATTGATTTCCTGTGCGTGGGTGTTACCTTCTAGGTTAATTCTTCTTGAACTAACCTTTTCTCTAGTACCTGGTCCCCTTTTCCTATTGGCCTCAGTTGCTTTTAAGGTATCTGCTTTAGTTTCTGTGCGTTGAGGGCAACAAATGCTAGCTAGTTTTTTAGGTGTCTTACCTATCCTCACCCCTTCCTTGTGTGCTCTCGCTTTTATCATGTGCTCATAGTCCAATCCCTTTGTTGTGTTTGCCCTTGATCTAATGTCCACATATGAGGGAGAACATACGATTTTTGGTCTTTTGAGCCAGCCTAACCTCACTCAGAATGATGTTCTCCAATTCCATCCATTTACCAGCGAATGATAACATTTCGTTCTTCTTCATGGCTGCATAATATTCCATTGTGTATAGATACCACATTTTCTTGATCCATTCGTCTGTGGTGGGGCATCTTGGCTGTTTCCATAACTTGGCTATTGTGAATAGTGCCGCAATAAACATGGGTGTGCAGGTGCCTCTGGAGTAACCTGTGTCACAGTCTTTTGGGTATATCCCCAAGAGTGGTATTACTGGATCAAATGGTAGATCGATGTCTAGCTTTTTAAGTAGCCTCCAAATTTTTTTCCAGAGTGGTTGTACTAGTCTACATTCCCACCAACAGTGTAAGAGGGTTCCTTTTTCCCTGCATCCTCGCCAACACCTGTTGTTGGTGGTGTTGCTGATGATGGCTATTCTAACAGGGGTGAGGTGGAATCTTAGCGTGGTTTTAATTTGCATTTCCTTTATTGTTAGAGATGGTGAGCATTTTTTCATGTGTTTTCTGGCCATTTGAATTTCTTCTTTTGAGAAAGTTCTGTTTCGTTCACTTGCCCATTTCTTTATTGGTTCATTAGTTTTGGGAGAATTTAGTTTTTTAAGTTCCCTATATATTCTGGTTATCAGTCCTTTGTCTGATGTATAGCTGGCAAATATTTTCTCCCACTCTGTGGGTGTTCTCTTCAGTTTAGTCTCATGCATAATTAACTGCTTAGTATGCTCTCAAATGCTCTTTGATTGGGACATTGCTGATTCATGCTTCATTTACACATTTTGTCTGTTTCTGATAAGCACAGTGACATTGGGTTCTCAGGCAACATCTGTCAATAATCAACCTTTGTTTTCCATTCTCTGTTCAGGATGGGACTACAGCATTGTTGAAAGCAGCCAACAAAGGGTATAATGATGTTATAGAGGAGTTGCTTAAATTCTCACCGACTCTTGGTATTTTGAAGGTAAGACCTGAATAGAAATTATGCCAGTCTATAAAGGAGAAAGGTTTTAAAATAAGTCCACACTGGGAACTTCAGTAGTGCTAAAAGCCTGGTCTCCGCTCTCCTGGTTGTTCCCATTGAATTTTCAGGCTGCTGAGGTTGTATGGAGGGTTCTATTTTAGACTGCACTCTTGCAGGTCAGCTAATACAGAACTGCTGTGGTTAGGATGTTGCTCCTCTCCCCTCTCCTATGAGCTACTTCTAGTCTTCCGGGAACCTGGAAGTCAAGTCACAAGATTGCAGTTCTTACAATTGTTTGTAATGGTTATTCAGGTGAAACTGTGAACACAAAAAGGAGCTTTAGAAATGGCCTTTGAGGGCTAGTGGAATGGCTCAAATGGTAGAACTCTGACCACGCAAGCATGAGACTCTGAGTTTAAACCCCAGTTTAAAAGAAATGACCTTTGAAATTTCTAGTCTTGTTTCAAACCATGCTTTTGGCTTTTTTTGTTAGCTATGTTGCAAATAGGTGGCACTGACACATTGGTTCAGATTTATAAATGGGCATGGTGGCATACACCTGCGATTCCAGCAACCAGGAGGCTGAGGCAAGAGGATTAAGAGTTAGAGGCTAGCTTGTACTATATAGTGGACTCTGTCTCAAAAAAGATATATTTAGACATGTCAAATGTTACCAAATTAGTGAATTATCATATATAGTATGAAAGCAACCATATAAAAATGCTAATTTGCTAGAATTTTTCTATAGATATGATTTTACTTTTATGAAATCACAGTGGTTTTTATTATGAAGCATTAAGTAGAAAACCAAGTTTGCATTTGGGTCCTATTTATAGACATACGTACCCTTTGCTACCAATGTCCTACTATTGCTCATCATTTTTATGTGAGTTTGTTTTATTCTTTTCCCCTCCCCTCCCAGATCTAGCTAGATGTCTTTACCTGCTTTCTTAATCAATAAATACTTACACTAAATTTCATATAATATCAGTAACTTATCTTCTAGGCCTTTCTGTGCTCAGAAATGCTCCAACTCAGGGCTCAAGGAAGTCGCCTCCACCCCCAGACTCTTAAGCCCCAAAACTCTGCTTCTCTCCTATCTGTGCAGAGTTTCTGTAACTGGGCTGTGGGTAGGCCCCGGGCCAGCCAGCTCTTTCTCCAGCCCAGCCAGAAGTGGCTTAACAAAAGTACAAAGACTGTAAGGGTGTTGTCCTTTGAGAAAAATTTTTGTTCAACACACCATTCCTGGTTTTTTTTTCTGCAGCAAGTCCTAAAGTATATAAAACTACTAGAGTGACCATGAAGTCATGTGTACCCTGGGCCAGATTCTTGTTTCAATTGCAAAAAAAATTGGCAATATTTATACTGACCATCAGCTGTGTATCTGAAGACACAATACCAGGCTCTGATGTGACTTTGAAATACACAAGGGAAGCTGGACGCTGGTGGCTCACACCTGTAATCCTTGCTACTCAGGAGGATTGCAGTTTGAAGACAGCCTGGGCAAATAGTTTGTGAGACTTATCTTAAAAACACCTTTCACAAAAAAGGGCTGGTGGAGTGGCTCAAAGTATAGGTCCTGAGTTCAAACCCCAGTACCACCAAAAAAAAAAAAAGAAACAAACAAAAATACAAGGGAAGATAGGAAAAATAGGGCTCTGGTGTTACAGTTTTATCACTCTGATGGTTTACAATGGAAGCCAAGCTAAGTGCTGATGTCTCTGAGCTTACTCCTGACACACAGTATTGTTTTCTCTTAGAATGGGACGTCGGCACTCCATGCAGCAGTACTCAGTGGAAATATTAAAACAGTGGCATTGCTTCTGGAAGCAGGGGCAGACCCAGCCCTGAGAAACAAGGTACCAAGTTAACCCATCTTTTAGCTCCTCTTAAGGAAGGCTAGAGGTAGGAAAAGTTTGGGGCTCATTTAGGTTGCCCAGGGATAGCCCATACCACCCTCACCTGGCTGGTCCAATGTCCCTCCCCACTCATCCGTTATTGGGTGGGAATCTCCTGGGTCTGCCCTCCCCATGGGTTAGTGTAGGTTTTTAAAACACCTGAAAAAGAAAAGCACACTCTCTTTGCCGATGGACTCCACTTGCACCCAATCATGCTTCCTTGGTATTTCCTAACAAGTTCTGCTTAGATTCTTCCACTCGGGAACGCAAGGACCAAGGTCTTCTGAAAACACTGGTTTGCCATCAACATTCTGAGCCCCGCCTAAGCTTGGATAAGCTTCTCTAGGGCTCCTGTCCCTGTCTTCATAGTTATGCCCAGTAAGGGCTTGCAAGGTTATTCCTGAGCAGTTGGTTTAGACCTAGGAAATTATATAAAAACCTTATTATCATCAATTGTTTTCCACTAATAGTGGTACAGCCTCCTGGCAAGGGTGATGGAGGCCAAGGAGGCAGTCATTATGGGATTAAGTACCATCCTATCATCAGAGGTGTGCTTTAAAAACGTTAAAATTCTGATGGCTTATCACCACCTCCATGAGGTGCGTGCTCCTGTCTTGAGACTTGCTATGCTTGGTGACCCCGGGGGGAAAATGTTGCCTTTATATTGTTAACAGGCACGCATGCCACTGTTGCAAAACCAACCTATTTTTATAATAGCAATAGAAAAAATGATTGTCATTGCACTTCCTCCTATTCAACATCTGCTTAAATTGTCACTTGTACAGATTGGTGTGATGGGGGAGTAGCCTAGGAAAGGTCTAAACTATCAACGTGTGTGTGTGTGTGTGTGTGTTACTGGGACTTGAACTCAGGGCTTTGTGCTTGTGAAACAGATAGAGGCTCTACTGCTTGAGTCACACTTCCAGTTCTAAACTACCAACTTTTGAAGGAGGACATGGGATTGGCGATTATTAATAGGGGAAGGTATGAGAAGATACTTCCACTTTACTCTACACTTACATACTCTGAATTTTTATAAACATTTATTACTGTGCCTGAACAGTTCAGTAGTAAAATAGGCATGATGATACACATCTGTAGTTCCAGCACTTAGGAGGATCTCAGTTCAAGGACAACCTGGCTACATAGTGATACACTGTCTCAAAAAAATTATTCTAATAATAAAAATAAAAAATAGGGCTGGGGATGTAGTTCAGTGGTAGAGCACTTGCCTAACATGAGTAAGGTCCTGGGTTCAATCACAGCACTGTAAAAATTTTGTTGTTGTTGTTGGTTTTGTTTTTTACAAAAGTTTATTCTTAAATGTACAATAGCTTACAAGACAATAGTTCACTTTATAGGTGGCAAAAATTATTACTTCAGGGAATCCAGATGTTTAAGTAGATATGGAATCAGGGTTGCCATCATCTCAGGCTAAAGAACAGCTGCCTTTTTGCCAGCTTTCTCAGTTCTACCTGTGGCCACAGAGCCCTTCCCAAGGTCTTCCCTTTTAGCTCTTTAAGTTTCCTCTGCTCCTCCTTTTGTTTCTGCTTGAAAGTCTCAACTTCCTCATCTGTCTCCTTGGCCTGTTTCTTGGGCTGTTTCATGGCTCTTTTTGCTATCTTTTCAGCTATCCATGGCACCTGCCACCCCTTCCCCAGATCCTAATCCTAAACCAGAAAGCTTCAGGTTCCCCGCCCCTGTTAATTTTTTTTTTTTTTTTTTTTTTTTTGGTGGTACTGGGGCTTGAACCCAGGGCCTACACCTTGAGCCACTCCACCAGCCCTTTTTTGTAAAGGGTTTTTCCAAATAGGGTCTCTCGGAACTATTTACCAGGGCTGGCTTTGAACCGAGATCCTTCTGATTTCGGCCTCCTGAGTGGCTAGGATTACAGGCGTGAGCCACTGGTGCCCAGCTAAAAATTTTAAATATATATATGCACCTGGAGTCCTAGGCCAGAGGTCTCACTTCAGGAGAGCCAGCGTATTATGTCTGGCCACTGGCCCCAAAGAAAACAAAAGGAAATGATGTTGAAAGGAAGGAAAGGACTTAATCAGCATAGCCATGTTGGGAAGAGGGAACCGAAGCATTGCAGCCCATCTTAGGTGTACTGATGTGAGCTTTAGGTTTAAATGCAGGAAGAACTGGGACTGGGGAGAGTAGTATGCATAATTAAGCAGTTTGGGTCATAGGTGTGATCTGGTGAATCATTGTCTCAGTTCTAATTCTGCAAAGGGTTTTGGAGAAGTTATTATTGCTATTGCTTGGGGGAAGTTTCTGTCTCATATCATAAAGATGTTTATGGATCAGTCCTGTCATTCCAGGAATGTTTAGGACATTTAGTCCAAAGGGGCAGGTTTAGGACAAAGACTAATGACTAACAACTTTCAGGCACCTTTGGGGATTCTGGAACAGGACATTGTACGTGCTGACAGCACTCTTTTCTTTATGCCTTTGTACTGGAAGGGGGAAGATACAGGTTAGGTGTCACTTGTTTTTAGACAGATACTTCTTGAGTGATTAACATGGCTGTATACAAATTAAGCAAGAGTGTGACCCAAAGTTTTAAGTCAAAGGAGACAGACACCAAATGAAGGCAGAGAAACTAGGCTTTTTTCCTGCTTTTAGTTACCTTTTGGCCAAGTGAGGAGTCAGTACTTTTTAGCAAGAGCAGTTTCTAGGTACCTGCTATAGATATATACCTATATATATAACAGGTTCTATATGTTATATATATATGAATACATATATTAGGTATATATGTTAGGTATATAACATGTAATCTGTTATATATGTATATAGGTACCTGCTATAGATACACACCTATATCTATAACAGGTTATATATGTTATATATATTATACATATGTATATTATACATACACATATATGTTACATATGTGTGTATATATTATATATAATTCTATGGCATTTTGACAAGAAACCCATTAAGAAATGCCAATGAAACAGCATATCAAGAACAAGGATCATTTTTTCATTTCACTTAGCATATAGAAGTATCTTTTCCCCATTCCTGCCATTGAATTGCTTGCAGATAACATTTCTGCTAACATTTCTGTTTATTTCTTCCTGAGTTACTTGCATTTGCTTTCCATTAGCTGGCCTGGCTGTGTAATAAGCCAGCTGAGTCATAATTGCCTTTCTTTTTGATCTTATCTCTGGACCTTGTATACAGACCTCCTAAAGTGATCAGTCTTTGCTAGTGAGTCATGCAGGACTGAGTTAAAGCAGGGGGGACATGTCAGGACCTTTAAATAGAAACTGAAACATGACACCAGGTGACTCATGCCTATAATCCTAACTACTTGGGAGGCTAGGATTGAAAGGATCGAGGTTTGAGGACAGCACAGGCAAATAGTTCACGAGACTTCCATCTCCAAAAAATAACCAGAGCAAAATGGACTGAAGGCGTGGCTCAAGCAGTAGAGTGCCTGCTTTTCCAGCTCAAAGCCCTGAGTTCAAATTCCAGTCCCACTCCCTGCCCCCCAAAAATGGGAAACTGAAAAATGCAATTTCTCCTGTGTCTCCTTAGTGAAATAATCATCAGTGACAATATGGTTGTGAGTAATTTCCAGTGGACAAAATGCTGGACATTGACCCTCCCTGAAACTACTCGAATTTATGTGAGGGTACTCATGTCAGAGCCTCACATAACAGGAGCCCTTTGAATCTTGGGAGTAGCTGCCAGAAAAACACTCACCTGACTATCAAACACCCCAGAGAAGCCAGCATCTTTAGTGGCAGCTCCAGAAGCATGGGTGTTATGATCCCAGCAGCTACCCAGAACTCTTGAAAGAGATTCTTGATGTTCATTCATTCATTCAACAAACATGTATTGAATACCCATTGCTGGGGATACAATGGTGAATAAGACTCATACATTCTCTGCTTTCGTAGAGCTCAGAGTTAAGTGGGAGCATAAAGATCAACATGCAATTGCAATGAATCTTGACAGGAATTATTAGCAGGAACCCAGAGAAAGCTATTCGAGGCTTCCCAAAAAGAGTGACTTCTAAACTAGTATGGAAACACTCCTCTGCTTCATAGGTCCAGGACTTCTGTTCTGGGGCTTAGAGGCAGATGCCTGAGGAGAGGACTAACTGAAGACCTAGTAGCCATTCTTCCCACTGCAGTCACCCTCTTGGATGTAGGAATCTTGTGTTTCCAACATTCCCAACTGAGCACTAAGACCTCATCTTCTCCCAAGAGCATGGGGAAATACAGTAGCTTGGAGCAGTAGAATCAGGAATATGGACCTCTGATCATGCTCCATAATGAATAAGATGGTCATTAGGGGCTAGTCTAGGTCACTGCCCATCATAACTACCATATGGTCTCAGCAACCTTAGAATTCAGTGCGGACAAGCCAGGAGAGAGGACTGACTCCAGAGTTTTAGATCACACATAAAACAGTGATATGATTGACCAAAATTTGACAACAAAGTTTGAGGGTGTAAGCTTTCTTGAATGGTAAAGGATATGGACAGGCATGCAGATGGTCCCATAGGCATGCTAAGTCAGCAAGCTGGTAGACAGAATTACAGCTCCTTAGCTCCTTCTCCTCTCTCTCATCTGCTCACTGTGGACCAATGACTGATGTCAACTGCTCAGTTATTCCTGAGTGTTTATGGAGACTGGCTGAATCTTAGGTCTGTTTGCCAGGAGCATGTCTCTGCAGGCCCAAGTGTTGGGCCTGTACAATATCTGCTTCTGCAGGAGCTAAGCTAACAGTAGCCTTTGTACCCATCGTAGGGCCACCAGTCTATACTGGCATAGCATTGCAGTTTTCTCTCTGATTGAGCCCATAGCAACATCAAGGGTCCTGGGCAGCTACCAAGCATGCTGCATAGCAGACCTCTGTGGCAGACTCATACTTTCCAGCAATTGAGGTCCCCGCCAGCAGATAGGGGTCAGGCCGCAGAATCCAACCACTTAGGATCAGCATCCAAGCAAAGCAGTGAGGGGGTTCCAGGATTGGCTACAGGAGAAAAATAATGTGAAACAGGTAACATCTACCTACCCCTAAGCTCTCTCCCCTATTCTGTGTGCCTTTCTACCCTTAAATGTCTAGCTCTAAAAAATCCTTTTGATTATTTCTCAATAACAACTGCTCCCAAAGCATGATCTGTTCTTCAAGACCTGTTCAGGGGGTCTAAATGATCAAAACAGTCTTCTTGGTAATAAAAGATGTTTTCTGCCTTTTTTGTCTGTATCGACATTTGCTTTAATAGTGCAAAAGTAACAGTGGGACCAGGTGTGGTGGTACATATTATAATCCCAGCACTTGGGAGGCTGAGGCAGGAGAATAGTGAGGTCTAAGCTAGCCTGGGCTACATAGTGAGACCCTGTTTCAAAAAAAAAAAAAAAGGAAATGGAGGGAGGGAGAAAGAAAGGGAGGGAGGAGAGAAAGAGAAAAAAGAAAAGCATTAGTGGGTAAAACTGTTGGTGTACTTTAGTACACATAAAAGCAGGAGCACAAAACTATACTACAAAATAGTTTACAGTCCTTTGTTAGTTTACTTCACAAATTTTCCAGTCATTTTACTCTAGTGTCTTTTTTTTTTTTTAATTGAATTGCTAGGGATTGAACCTAGTGCCTGTGCATGCTGGAGAAGGTCTCTACCACTGAGATTCATCCCCCAGCCCTTAGTTTCTTGAGACTGGGTTTCACTATGTAGCTCAGGCTGACCTTGAACTTGGAATCCTCCTGCCTCTGCCTCCAGAGTTCTGGAGTTACAGGACCATCTGCCCATCTTATTTAAGAATGTCTTTGATGAAGCAGTAAAATAAATTGCTAATTTTATTAACTTTTGATTCTTGCTGCACATCTTTTTAATATTTTGTGTGACAAAATGGGAAGAATGAATAATGTATTTTTGTTGTAGACTCTGAGAGTGGCAGAGGAAACCAGCTGCCACTTTTTTCATAGAGCTTCACTACTACTTTAAAGAACAACTTGTAACCATCACTGTGATATTAACAGGTTCCCAGTCCAGAAGGGCTTTCTGATGAATCAGTAGTACAATTAATGGATATAATTTTTATATTGCATAATGAAATGTGTCAACATCTGGAGGTCCTATATAACTCAGTGAACTAATATCTTCTGAACGAGCAGTGCATGATGTTACAAATCATGCATGGGTAAAAGATCTACCTTCAAATAAATGAACCTGTGGATTTTGTGTGTGTGTGTGTGTGTGTGTGTGTGTCACTGGGGTTTGAATTCAGGGTCTCATGCTTGGTTGTGTGTGTGTGTGTGTCACTGGGGTTTGAATTCAGGGTCTCATGCTTGGTTTTGTGTGTGTGTGTGTGTGTGTGGTGTGTGTGTGTGTGTGTGTGTCACTGGGGTTTGAATTCAGGGTCTCATGCTTGGTAGGCAGGCACTCTATCACTTGAGCCTTTTTGTGTTGGTTTTCTTGGGGGCTTTCCAACTATTTGCCTAGGGTTGGCTTTGAGCAGCAATCCTCCTGATCTCTTCCCCCTGAGTAGCTAGAATTACAGGAGCGAGTCACCTGTGATTTTAATGGAACAACAACAAAAAAAAGTGCCTTGATATGGATCCAGGTCCTACATTGTAATTAACCTTTAAGAAACTACCACTGCTCTTTAATACCGATTGCCTGTGGTAGGAACTGACTTACTAAATGCTTAACCAATGTGTCTCAGCAGTTAGGAGGACTATGTGATTCTAAGAATGTGATTTACTGGGTCAGGTGGAAAGTTGTTGCCACTGAAGCTGTTCTTTCCTGGTTATCTCTTAAGCTTTCCTAACTCTGCCTTCTCATCCAGAGATTCCTGTCCTAATACCTCATGTTCTCATTCATACGTGGAGGGTAAAAATATTTATTTCATAAAAGTACAGAGTAAGGAATAATGGTCACTAGAGCTAGAAAGGGGAGAGGGAGGGACAATACAGGAAGATCAGATAACAGGTGCCAAAATACAGTTAGATAGGAGAAATAAATTCTAGTGATCTACAGAACAGTAGATGACATAATTTTACAGCAGTTTATTATATTTTGTAAAGAACTAGAAGAGATCAGGACTGTTGATATTGTGCTGAAAAAATAGCTAGAGGAGAGGCATCCAAAGCTTCCCAACACAAAGAAATGGTAAGTGTTTAAGAGGGAAATGTTAACTACCCTATTTGATTGGTACACAAATATATGTATACATTATACATATGTACATTATGACACTGTACCCCATGAATATGTACAATTGAAGTAACAAATAAATTAAAATGTGGAAGAAAAATAATGATAACCTGTCCTCAGTCCCATGTTCCTCCCTATTGGACAGACCACTTCATATAAAAAGCTAGTTAGATATAAAATATCAAACTTAAGCTGACTAGTATTTATTAGCTGTTCTAGACATTGTGTTGGAAATGAGCATACAGTCTACTAAGTATTTGATTGGATAGAAAAATAGCACCGAGAAGATAGCAGGTGTCATTTATACATTTAAAAGAGACGGAGGGCAGGGGGGAAGGGGGGGGAGGTGGCTCAAACAGTGTACACACGTGTGAGTAAATGTAAAAACAATAAAATAAAATAAAAAAGTAAAAGTAAAGGAGACCTGTATTGTCTTAATACAAGAGAGTGAGTCCAGTGAAGAATTTCATTACTGACAGGGAAATGTGGACCACATGTCCACTTTGGGTCCCTAAGACCACACCACTAACACCCATCTCATCTTCTTTCAGGCCAACAAGCTTCCAGCAGAACTAACCAAAAATGAACGTATATTGCATCTCCTCCGAAGTAAAGAAGGACACAGGAAGAGCTAACTTAGTTCCGTATCAGGCAGGAAGATAGAAACTTTAACCATATTGTTCAAAAAGAAATTGCTTTCAAACGTTGTTGAAAATTCTTTTAAGAAAGAATTTGCCCAGAATGCCCACCCTATGGGTCCCTAAAAAATAACTGTGCTGTGTGTGCAGAGTCAAGAACAGAAGAGCTCACTTACAGTGGGCTCCTCACACTGCCCTGTGACTCAGCTCCGGGGCCGGGGCTGCCTAGTCACAGATTCCACAGAAACTCATCTGCAACTAGGCTGGCTTGGGTCCCTCAGTTACACTCGAAGTTGGACAGAGCTTTCAGTACTAAGCAAGGAAACAGAAAGTTTTGTTCCTTTACAGGAATGACCTTCAGTGAATCAATGCACGTTTGCTTTTTTGTGTTAAATGTAGATGTGCTAAAGTATATAGAACCATCATATTTTACATACATATATGTATGTCATTTTAGTGCAAAGTTTTTTCTTCCACTCTAAGATCACAGCCATGATTAATGTGAGTCAGTGATGTGCAACCATTCATTATGAGAAAGCAACTTCTAATATTCCACCATGTGCTTTTCAAAGATGGATGTGGAACTATAGAAAAGATTATTGTATGTTAGTTAATCCTTACTTATTCCTGACATGTAAAATCATTTGGACTTAGTCAATATTGTAGGTATATTCAGAAACCAGTTGCAGATTTGGAAACCTAGAAAATTACAAACCACAAAAAATTTAGGCTTGTTTCTTTGGGCTTTTATTTTGATTCTATTGTTGGGAGTCTACTTCTTGTGCCGTAAGTAAGCAGACCTAATATGCTATGGACTCTTGAGCTTCCAACACTGCACTGCTTAATACAATGACTTTGAGGTCATTGGATAAAATGTGATATATGCAAATGCAATGTGTTGCTAATACTATTGCAGGAATATAATAAGAGGTGGTTGTTAGTATTTAATAAGTATACATCTATGCATGTTCTTGGGTCGATTGATTCCAAGAAAGAATCCTGAGTTTTTATTGAATTATTTCTTTAAGAGAAGCTAAAATTTATTTTCAGCATACTTTATGATCAATGGTGTCTAACTGCCTCTGTTGGTGCCTAACTGCACACACAGAAATTAAACCTTCTTTCTGTAATCTATCAGAATAAACATTAACTGTATTTCTGTTATTTTAATACATATTTAGTTTTCTTGTTTATGTTCTGCTCTGGTTTTCAGCCAGTGTTCTATGTGAAGTTATGTTAAGATAAAGGAAAATGTAATCCCAAAATAAGTTTTGTTTAACCAACATGAAGTGGTACTAAACACATTGTCTTTAAGTCAGTACTTTCTAATTTTTGAAATTAGAAGATATTCTCTTTAAATTGTTTATGATTGATACAATGAAAGTCAGTTTATTTTGATTAACATCATAAGCAAAGCCAGTAATGAGCAACTCACACCCATGAGAGATGCTTACAACCTGACTAGCTCTGCAAAAATCCTCAGTCTAATTTCTTTTTTTTTAGTGGTACTGGGGTTTGAACTCAGGGCCTACACCTTACAGATAGGGTCTTGTGAACTATTTGCCTGGAGCTGGCTTCGAACCACTGAACTGTGATCCTCCTGAGTAGCTAGGATTACAGGTGTGAGCCACCAGCACCAGGCTAATTTCTTTTTTTGAGACTATGTAACCCAGACCTCATCAAACTCACCATTCTCCTGCCTCAACCTCCTGAGTACTGGAATTAATAGGCCTGTACCACCACGCTGGGCTCCTCAATGTAATTTTAAGGTAAAAGATCTGTATTGCCAAAATACCAGATGTAGACATTTTGGTAGCAAAAAGCAATGCCAATTTCCTCATTGACATTCTTTTATTCTGCAGTTATACAAATATATTTTCCCCTATGGGAATATGAAAAAGATATATATATATATATATATATATATATATATATATATATATATATATATACATACATACATATGGCTGTTGAAGAGGAAAATAATGTGGCCTTAAATGCTTTCTGTTCTTCTCTTTAGTTACCCCTTACACCAAAAATAGTTGCTCTGATCCAAAACAAAACAGTATTATGGGTACTGATAACAAAGTTCCAAAAGACAAAAATCACAAACTATGCTTTCGTTAACCTGTTCCTTATGTTGTTTTAGGTGTGTAACGTTCCTGAATAATACTCAGGCCATGTAAGCGAATCCAGTAGCTTTAGTGATGTTTAATGGAGGCCTTCTTACTATAGCTAAGAGGCACCTGGCTTAGAAGGATCACATTTGATCTAGCTGATATCCATGGCAGGGAAACCAATGAATCACCTACCAAAGGCTGAACAAAAAGTCAGCCTTTTAACTAAATTGCATTTTAGTTTGTACACATATAAACAATTATTATTGTATGTTAATCTAATTCACAATTCAGTTCTGTATCTTAAGAGTTAACGCAAATCATCTGCTTACTTGAACTATCAGGCCATGTAAGCGAATCCAGTAGCTTTAGTGATGTTTAATGGAGGCCTTCTTACTATAGCTAAGAGGCACCTGGCTTAGAAGGATCACATTTGATCTAGCTGATATCCATGGCAGGGAAACCAATGAATCACCTACCAAAAGGCTGAACAAAAGTCAGCCTTTTAACTAAATGCATTTAGTTTGTACACATATAAACACTTATTATTGTATGTTAATCTAATTCACAATTCAGTTCTGTATCTTAAGAGTTAACGCAAATCATCTGCTTACTTGAACTACAAAAATTTTTCATTACATATATTTGTTTGATGATACCTTCTATATTATCATTCAAAATAAAGTTAATAGACTATCCAGTTTGCCTTTGCTGCTTTTTCCTTTTATTTTAAGTCAGAAGATGTTTCTATATGATTTCTAATAGAGTGGAATTTTAGTGAGAATAATTCAACTCTTGCTATTTGGGATACTGAATAGATCTTGCAGCTTTATTTTACTAAGAGACCTATGATTTTGTCATTTCTACTATTTTACTAAGAGACCTATGATTTTGTCATTTCTACTATAGAAAAGATTTGCAATGATTCCTAAAGGTTTTCATTCAGAAAAAGAATTCCTGGAATAGTCACTAAAGACAGTAAAAATAGAAAATCCCTGATTTCTGTTTCTGTGGTTATGATACTCCTGGCCCCTCAGTCTCTGCAATAGCATTCTCTTGTGAAATAACTGATGGGTTTGCAGAACTTCCGGTGTAGGAACAGATTTGAAGTAGTAACATCAGGAATCTGGAGAAGGCCCTCGTGGCAATTCTGGCTTCCTTCTGTATGTATCCACCCTCTGCAACCATAAGAAGTGACATTTCATCATTAACTCACCCTGGAGGAATACCATGGGAGAGGAAAAGAGCACCCCTCAAATACCAGGCTGAGGATGGCTGTAATTTGAGATAGGCCTGCAGATTGTAGGGGTGAAAAACTGAGTTCCTAATTTTACAACAAGGTGGTTTGGATGCTAGAACTGGCTGAGTTTCACAGGTTCTGATCAAGGAATGTATCAAAAATTACTAATAATAACAATAAAAACAGAAACTAATGCTTGTTAAGGGATGGCTATGTGCTAAGCACTTGACAGAGGTAATCTCATTCCCCCCCCCACAGTCCTTTGCAACAGTCCTTTCTCACAGCTGAGAAAACTGGTTTGCCAGATAATTATCACGCCTTGTTATGATTTTTCATGTCATTTTCGAACATCAGCTCATGCTCTTCTACTTAAAATATAGGAAAAACAGAGAACTATGTTATAGAGTTATATGTTCTAAATGTGGTTTGTCCCCACCAAAGCCATATTGAGGCTTAAGTCCCCATCATACCAGTATTTAACTGGTGGGATCCTTTAGAAGATGGGGCCTCTGGGAGGTGATTAGATCGTGACCATCCTCATGAAAGTGTATCACAAGTGAGTTGAGTCTCAAAGGAATACATTAGTTTCTAAGAGAAAGAATTGTTATTCAAAAGTGAGCCTGGCCCCTCTCCAGACTTTTTATTTTCCTCTCTTGTCGTGTGATCTCTTCCATACATATTGCTTGCTCCCCTCTGCCATGTTTTCAGGCAGCCAGAAGGCCTTCACCAGGAGCTGAGCTGATGGCACTGCCTGAACTTGTACTTTGGGCCTCCAAAACTGTGAACTAAATAAACTTCTTTAGAAAATCCCAAGTTTCAGGTATTCTGTTATAGCACCACAAAACATACTAAGATATACTCTATGCTCAAAATTAGAATAATAAATTTCACATTCCTGGAGCAGAGGCCCAAGCTGTGTTCTTACTCTGCTAACTTACTGAACACAATGAGCTAAACCAATAATGGAAATTTTCTCCAGGCTCCCTTAGTTTAAAAACATTATGTAATTAGTGGTTCTGGGAAGTTTTAGAATCTTTAACTGGTACCCTTACTCTTATTTTTAGCAGTACTTTACAATGATTATAAAAAATGAATGAGGTTGTGGTTTTTTTTTTTATTATTCATATGTGCATACAATGCCTGGGTCATTTCCTCCCCCCTCACCCCCTCCCTTACCACCCATCCCGCCCCCTCCCTCTCCCCCCACCCCCCATACCCGGCAGAAACTATTTTGCCCCTATCTACAACCCTGTTGAAGAGAGAGTACAAACAACCATAGGAAGGAACAAGGGCTTTTGCTAGTTGAGATAAAGGACAGCTACACAGGGAGTTGACTCACATTAATTTCCTGTGCGTGGGTGTTACCTTCTAGGTTAATTCTTTTTGATCTAACCTTTTCTCTAGTTCCTGGTTCCCTTCTCCTATTGGCCTCAGTTGCTTTTAAGGTATCTGCTTTAGTTCTTGCGTTGAGGGCAACAAATGCTAGCTAATTTTTTAGGTGTCTTACCTATCCTCATATCTCCCTTGTGTGCTCTCGCTTTTATCTTGTGATCAAAGTTCAATCCCCTTGTTGTGTTTGCCCTTGATCTAATGTCCACATATGAGGTTGTGTTTTTAACAATCAAAGTTAAGTAAGGATC